AAATCAGCTCACCTCTTTGAACTTTGGTTTTCTTCTCTATTAAATGTGTGCATGGAACGAAAAGGCTTCCCGGGTGGATAAACTGTGAAGTGTTCATGTTGCCTTTTGTCTCATTCACTGATCCAGCAGGACCATGAACCCCTAAAACATGGTCTGTCCTCAGAACGTCTGTGGGACTTCTGTGCCCACGCAGGCTGCTGGGCACACTGCAGTGCCCCCGATGAGGATTGTCCATGATGGTTGCTGGACCAACTGACAGAGCCCATGGTGGCCAGGAGGTGGCACTTTGGTGTTTTCTGCAGTAGAACCCACCAAAGGGTGAAAAAATAACTGGGGCTGTGGCTTCAGTGACCACAATGGAATATTGAGGGATGAAAATGACCAAGGAGCTTTGTTTTTTAAGTTTACATATAAAGAATATGGGAGCTGGGGTGATGGTACAATAGGTAAAGCAATTGCCTTGCATGTGACTGACCTGGGTTCGAAGCCCGGCAACACATATAGTCCCTGAGTCCACCAGGAGAGATCCCTGAGCACAGAATTAGGAGAAAGCACTGAGCATCTTTGGCTCTGTGTGTGTGTGTGTGTGTGTGTGTGTGTGTGTGTGTGTAAGCGAGGGGAGGAGGGAGAGAGAGAGCACAGAGGGAGAAGAAGGAATGAAGGAAATGAGGGAGGGAGGGAGGGAGGGAGGGAGGGAGGGAGGGAGGGAGGGAGACTTTAGGAAGGAAGAAAGATTTTGGGAGCCAGATAGTACAGCAGGAACTATCTGTACTAGCTGACCCCAGTTTCAATCCCCAGCATCCTGTATGGTCCCTTAAGCACAGCCAAGAGTAATTCATGAACACAGAGCCAGGAGTAACTCCTTAAAAAAATGTTTAAAGAATTAAATATTTTAATGATAATTTTTTAATAAAGTAAAAATGACTTTTGGTGGTGTTGATGGTATACACGTCTGTGATTCTTGACATATGCATAGATTTTTGTAAATGCTACTGTAATCACCATAGTCCTTCTCTCACCCTGAAAAACTCCCTTGTGTCATACACCTCTTCCTCTAAACCCTGACTATTCTTTGAACATTCTAGAGAATGTCACAATCATGGAGCCACAGTATACAGTGTTTTAGAATTGGTGACTTTCACTTAGCATAAGACCTTTGAAATGGGTCATTGATATTACTTATCAGTCACTTCTATCACTAGTTCATTCTTCTTATTGTTGATGACCTTTCTGTTGCTTAAGTTTTATCCATTCACTTATTGGTAGATAGTCTAGTTGCTTCTAGCTGGGAGACATTTGTAAACAGAACATCTGTAAATGTTTACGTAAGGTCTTGTTTCCTAATGATAAAAGAGATTGCAGGGTCTGTAATTCTACCATAGCAGCAAACTGGTTTCCCAGTGAAGGTAGCATTTTTACATTCCCAACAGCTGTACATGAGAGTTCTATTTTTCTGGATCCTCACCAGTATTTGGTATTGTCTAGCAACGAAAAGCTTTGGTTCTAGTTAAACTTTGCTTTGGGTCATTTTGAAACATATGAATGTGAAAGTATTTTTGGTTTTAGGGAGGGACAGATAGTACAGTGGGTAGAGTGCTGCCTTGAACACAGCCAACCCAGGCTCACTCCCTGATACCCCAGAGCCTGCCAGGATTAGTGATTCGAGCATAGAGCCAGGAGTAAGCCCCCGAGAACCACAGGACTTGGGGAGAAGGGTATTTTGGGTTTTGAAATTGTTGCCATTAATTTTGTTTTTAAATTTGTTTCTTACTGTTCATTACTAGTATACACAAGTAGTTTTGCATATTGACCCCGTAGCCAGTGATCTTGTTAAACCACATGTTAATTCTAAGCACTACTTTATAGATTCCTTGAGATTTTCTATCATTGTGGCAATGTAACTTGAAAATGGACACCTTTGAATTTTTTCCCATTGATTCTGTGTGCCCTTTAATTTCAGTAACCTGCCTTCTTTGCTGGCTAGAACTTCCACTGGGATGGTATGAGCAGTAGTGAACATGGAAAGCTTTGTCTTAATGTCCTATCTTTGGAGAAAACATCTAGCCTTTCCCACTAAGTTTAATGTCGGTGATATTTCTATACATGCCACTTACTGTGTTGTATTCTCCTCCAATATTGGTTTCCTAAGGGTTTGGGGAGGTGGTCTGCAGAGCCTCCCAAACAGAACTCAGGGGATCACTGGGGTGCTGGGTCCTGAACTCAGGGCCTCACATGCTGAGCTGTGAGCTACTTGAACTGTATCCCTAACTCTTGTCAAGATCTTTTTGTTGTATCAATTATATGATAATATGTCTTTATCATTCCCTTGCTATGATAAATTACATTGCTTAATTTTTTTAATACTTGATTGCTTTTGTATTTCTTAAGTATCTGCTCTCAGGGCCCAGGAAAGAATTAGTGGCAGAGTACAGGTCTTGCCTATGTGAGGGTGTCAGGTCTTGTGTTTGATCCCCAGCTCTTCACCTGAGCAGAAAAAAAAATTCACTTGGTTATGGTGTTTTTTCTTAACATTTTTTTATTCAGCCTGTTAATATATTGGCCATTCTTATATTCACTTTTATAAAAGGTGTTAGATAATGATTTTTAACTTTTCTTATACCATCTTTGACTATTTTGGGTGCCAAAATAAAGCTAACCTTCTAAAATTAGTTATTGTGTTCTCCTGTTTTCTACTAGAGATTTGAAGAATTGTTATTATTTATTTCTTAAGTACAGTAGCAAGTCTCACAATGGATACCTTACTGGTGCCAGCTCCAGCAAATTTATGATCAAGGGGAGGACAGTGCTACAGTATATATTATTTAAAACAAAATGTAAATATAATATTGGTTAAATCATTCTTTATTTTTTAAACAAATGGCATTCACTGTCAAACCTCTTATTACTTATGTAACAGATCCGTTTTTTTAATTGTTGTGGTACCACATCAGTATTGGGGTCTAACCCAATAGATAGACCTTAAGCATGCAAGGAATATGATCTACTTACCTAATTTACATCCCCGGCCCCAGCAAGTCTTTGAGTAGCGTTTTCTTCATCATCATTCATTATAAGGCCGATGAAGGAAAAAAGGAATTGTTTCATGTTTAGGTCCAATGTCTGGGTGAAGTTTGAAGTTTCCTCTATGTCTTTGTTCTCCAGTAACCTCCCATATTCCAAAAGATGTGCACATTAGATTGGAGGAGTGTTTATAAGCTGTCTCAGTGTGAATGAATGTGGATGGGTATGTGAAAATGCTCTGAAAAGGAATGGGATCCTGTCCAGCCTTGTACCTTGATCTTTTGGAATAGGTTCTGACCTGGAATAAGTGGCTTAGAAAATGAATGTGTGGGGAATGGGGATTTGACTCAAGTGACAGAGCATATGCTTCATATGTCTGACACCCTGGGTTTGATCCCAGGTACTGCTTAGTGTAGTTAGTGTGCACCAAGTACAGCCAGGAGTAGGCCCTAGCTCCAAAAAAAGAAAATGAATACAGTGTATTAATATTGGAGGCATTTTATGTTTTTACTTAGCATTTATTTGTGATTAGAAATACGTATTAGGAACTTGACTCTTGTTTATACCTCATTGGCCTGTGGTAAAGTTGAGTTTATTATGTTATTTCACTTAACTTTGCATTTTTGAAAACATTAAATGATTTTAAAAAGTACTTATTGCCTGCCTTTCTTCCTCACACCCAGCAGTGTTCAGGACTTACTCCTGGCTCTGTTTTCATACATGGCACCTTGGATCTAACCCTGCAAACACCTACTCACTGTACTCTCCTGCTCTGCCTTATAGTTTTTTTTTTTTATCATTATTGCCATTATGGGGCTGGAGTGATAACACAGCGGGTAGGGTGCTTGCCTTGCACGTGGCCGACCTGGGTTCGATTCCTCTGTCCTTCTCGGAGAGCCCGGCAAGCTACCGAGAATATCCCGCCCAGCTGCTGAGAGTATCCCGCCCGCACGGCAGAGCCTGGCAAGCTCCCCGTGGTATATTTGATATGCCAAAAACAGTAACAACAGTTCTCACAATGGAGACGTTACTGGTGCCCGCTCAAACAAATCAATGAACAACAGGAGGACAGTCCTACAGTGCATTCTTTAAGCATTTGGTAGGTTTTATTGTGAGATCTCTGGCTCTGACATTTTCTTTTATGAATGGCTTTTGTTTGCAGATTTAATAGATGTAACTGTACTCAGGTATTCTGTTTTTTTTTTTTAGTTGAGTTTTAGTAATCTATGGCTTTCAAGAAATCATTTGGTTTTTTTCAAAGTTACTGAAAGTATTCCCCAAATGGTTTCTGTAAGGATGGGAGACACAGGTGAAGGGAAGCAAACACTCTCGTGGAGGGTGTGGTGTTGGAACGTTGTATGAATGAGGTTTTATCATTAGTAATATTGTAAATCATCGTGTTGCAAATAGCATTTTTTTAATTCTAAGTATTCTAGTTGTTTTTTTTTTTTTTTTGGCTTTTTGAATCACACCTGGCGATGCACAGGGGTTACTCCTGGCTCTGCACTCAGGAATTACCCCTGGTGGTGCTCAGGGGACCATATGGGATGCTGGGAATCAAACGCAGCTCGGCCGTGTGCAAGGCAAACACCCTACCCGCTGTGCTATTGCTCCAGCCCCGTATTCTTTTATTTTCTTAATGTCTGTGTGGTCTGTAGTAATATCTCCTCTTTCATTTCTGAGACTAGTAATTTAGTTAGGTCTTCTCCCTTTCATTCTTTCAGACTGGAGAGTTAGCAATTTTATTGACCTTAAAAACAAATGTTTCAAGTGTTTTAATGTTTCATTGATTTTTCTGTTATTTCCTGCTTTCCATTTTATTATTTTTGTTCCTTTTTACCTCTTTTATCTCCGAATCTCATGAAATTTTGATCAAGATCAGCATCATCAGAGTTAACAGGGCAGAACCATTGCACTATATATATTCATAATTCTTTTGAGAACCACCCTGATATTTTCCATGTTTTGTTTCTTTGCAGTTGACGGGTCTAAGTGTCTCCAACGGAAAGGACCAACTTGTCGTGTTCCACACAAAAGACAACAAAGACCTCATTGTCTGCCTCTTCAGCAAACAGCCAACCAATGAAAATCGAATTGGGGAGCTTGTTGGAGTTCTAGCGAATCATTTCAAGAGGTAAAGTTTGCTTTTTGTGAACATATACAAGTTGGAATCTTCTCACATAATTCTCTGAACTTGTTTTGTGCAATATCTGAATTATTTTTCTTCATAAGGAGAACTTAAAATCATCTTTTTAATGAGGGTAGAAGTAAATTCCAGGCTTAGTTTCAAAACCAAGGAGAATCCTCTGCTTTTCTAGCTTCCAAGAGCGATTTCCTGAGTGGTGCCTCTTTGCTGCCAATGCAAAAATAATTAAATTTGTAGGAAAATTACTTTACATTCCTATTGTCACAGCTTCTAACTCCAGTGAATATGTGTGTTTGAATATGAACCAGTATGTGTGCCTACTCTGAATTTAAACGAATTAGGAAAAGCACCTGTAGATTTAGGAGGACTCAGTGGAATGACCCCTCTATAAAGGGTGTTGGAATTCTGCAAAGGAATGTGAAGCAGCACCCTCTCAAAACCTGGAGTCCAATTTAATATGAGAACTTCACAACAGTAGTGATGATGACCTGGCTACTTTTGTATGTGGTGCAGTGAGCAGTGATGTGAGAACTATGAACAGGGAGGCTGATGCTGAGGGTGGTGAGACTGTTGAATGGCAGTTGTAAGGAAAGGCAACTTTTCTCTGATTACTTACCGGGATTGTTGTAGAGATGGGGCTTGTCTTCCCATAGGCGGTAATGGTGTTTGCTCTGACTCTAAAATCAGACCATCTTCTCCTTGTGGTACTCTCTTTCTCTGCCCCCTGCCACTTGATGCTGGAGAGGAATGGGCCAAAGCTTTGATTCTTTCCTTCCTTCCAAATAGGCTTTCCTCTGTATCCCAAGTGGTTGCAATGCATTCCCTATTGATATTTTTGGATTTTCTCAAGTTTAGATATGATTTTGCTTTCTCTAAATGGAATATGATAACCACATACCTAATTTCACTGTATTCTTTTTTGAGGACAAATGTTTGAAATATAATTTTAGAGGTGAGTTGCACAGGCCATATGTTTTATGTTATTAAACCTTATATTCTAGAACAAACAGTTATTTATAAACATCTTCTCTAACTGAATGCATCTAATTCCCATCTGGTAGAAAAAAATTAAGACTCTTAAGAAACTACATATATGTGTATTTACATATATGTGTATTACATATATAGTTTGCTGGAGCGATAGCACAGCGGGTAGGGCGTTCGCCTTACAAGCGGCCAACATGGCCGACCCGAGTTCGATTCCTCCACCCCTCTCGGAGAGCCCGGCAAGCTACCGAGAGTATTCGATATGCCAGACACAGTAACAACAAAGTCTCCGATGGAGACGTTACTGGGCCCGCTCGAGCAAATCGACGATCAACGGGAGGGCCTTTACCTTTACCTTACCTTACATATATAGTTTATATTGATGTGTGTATATATACATACGTATATATATGAGTGTGTGTATGTATATGAGTGTGAAAACATTTCTTTTGTCTTCCAAATGACTATAATGCAAAGAGAAATACTAAGAGTTTCAAATGGATGGACAAGGCATGGAAGTGGGATTACTTCTTTTAAGTCTCTAAGTCAAATTTCCAGACTTATTTTCCTTGTAGTAATTAGTGGTACCAAAGTATGGACAAGTAAAGGAATTTTAGTTCTTTATATTTAATCTGGGTTCCCATATTAGCAATGTGCTTTTCCTGGGAAGTTTAAGGGCTTTGTGTCAATCATTCAGCACGTCTCTGGATGATGGAAATGGGTGATATGGTCCTAGAATCCTTTGGCCATTTTGTTCCTTATCTGCATGTTCCTTGGTACATTCCTATTTGCATCCTTCCTATCTTTAGCTTGTCTAAGAATTCTAAATATCTTTCGGTTTTACAAATAGCAGTAAAAAAAAGCTATCATAATGCCTGTTTTTTTTTTTTAATTTATACTTGTGTTTAGAGGTTGACCCTCAGAAAATTCAGTCTTAGAGTTCTGACTCAGAGTGGTAGTCATCACCTTGCTGTTGACTTCTTGGGGGAAAGGTTAATTTAATTTTTTTCCTAGCAATTTCCTTTATTTTCAAGTGTCATTACATTGGTATGGCTTAGGTCTTATAAGAATAATGCTGTGACACATCATCTTATTTTTTTGCCTGGGTTAATTATGGAAATTCAAAAGGTGAAGTACTCAACTCCAGACCAATTCTTCATCTTCTAGAAAAATGTCCTTAACATATGTCCTGAGAAGTTCTGTAATTATAAACTGGCAGTGATGTAGCTCAGCTGTAGAGAGTGGGCCTCAGAGCCCAGGTTTGATCCCAGCACCACAAAAAAATTTATTAAGAGAAAGGTTTGATACTTAAAGTCCATGATCAAAATTTTAGCCAAACATCAGAAGGAGTAAATATTGGGGTGGGGGGGGGGGGAGGATAACCTATCCCATTAAGCCAGAAAAGCAAAAATTAATAAATAAATAAGCCAATTCAACTTGGTGCAGAAGTTTTCATGTACATTTTTTTAATTTTATTTAAGTACCATGGTGTACAAAGTTGTTTATGATACAATTCTTTAGGGCATTCAATGTTCCAACACCAGTTTCACCACTAGTGTGACCTATCCTCCACCGTTGTCCCCTTTTCCCAGTCATCCCCAAACCTGTCCCCTTTGCAGGCACAAAATAATTTATATGATTTGTTACAACTAAATGGCTAATGGGATTATCAAAAATATACTTTAGTATAAATGGAAAATTTGTGAAAATTTTTATATCTCACGATGGGGTCACTGAGTCCTCATCTAAGGGTTTACTAAACTGTTGCTACTTGAGCCATCTGTGTTGTTATTTTTGTTTATTGAGTTTAGCTAGCGTCTCTTACTATCCACTCAATGTGCTGTGCTCCTGGGCTGGAGCTATAGCACAGCGGGTAGGGCGTTTGCCTTGCACGCAGCCAACATGACCGACACAGATTCGATTCCCAGCATCCCATATGGTCCCCCGAGCACCGCCAGGAGCAATTCCTGAGTGCATGAGCCAGGAGTAACCCCTGAGCATCTCCGGGTATGACCCAAAAAGCAAAAAAAAACAAATTTGCTGTGCTCCTATTGGGATGTGGAATTTGGAGGTGTCAAGAACTCCAGGATCTGTAGAACTGAGCTGCTAAGTTTACATGGTGGCAACTGTGGGATATGGGTGTGGCTGCCAGGCTTCCAGAAATATGAGCGACAGGGAGTGAGGGGGGTCCTGTCCTTACTCCCAGAAGAACCCAGAGTATGAAATCCTGCTTACCTGGAATTCTCATCAGTTTGCTGTCTCTGCAGAGATTAGTTGTGAAGCAGCGGAATTGGACCTTTGGCGTAATGGCAGCTGTTGGGGGAGGGGAGGGTGCACCGCTGCTGGCGCTTCAGCAGGGCAGGAGCTCAGCCCGCCCCCCTCATCAGGGCACCCCAGAGTTTTTATCCAGTACTGGATGAAAGTTTTAGCCACTCAGCTTGCATTTCTTCCTAGACTTAGTTGTGAATCTGTAAAGCTGGGCCAGTGGATAAGCTTACATAAGGAAGAGGTGGCCATGGGATGTGATTGGCCATATTCTTTTTTAATTCAAAATGAAGTTAAAAAAATCTGCAAATGCTATAAAAGATTAATTCTGGGAACCGGAGGTATAGTACAGCAGGTAGGGTGCTTGCCGTGCATGTGGCTGACTCAGATTTGATTCCCAGTATATAGTCCCCCCCAGCCCACCAAGTGTGATTCCTGAGCACAGAGCAAGGAGTAATTTCTGAGCACCATGGGGGGGTGGATAGAAGGGGTGAGGCCTAAAAACAAACCAAAAAAGATAAATATATCGTGACCAATGAGACTGTGCCCCAAGAATACAAGGATGGGGCTAGAGAGATGGCCCAAGGGACTTAAAAGCACATGTTTTACTTCAGGGACTCGAGGTTCAACTCTGGCACTGTCCCAAAATATTCATGAGCATTTTTTAAAAAATAATGAAGTCAAGGATGGCCAGTCATTAAAAATGTCTATGATTCTATTTATTAGAGTTCTTAGTACAAGATAAAAAATAGTACTTGGTTAAATCTAATACTTATTTCCTAATCCGTACACTGACAAAGCAAATGAATAAGACTTCAGTAATATAGGATAGAACAAACAAGAGGCAGCTTGGCAGTTGCTGGCCAGTTGGATAAGAGAAAATGTTCCCTGGTTGCCACGCAGAATGCTTGTGGGTTAAGGAAAGGCCTGTCATACTGGCCCCAGCACCTGGAGGGTGCACCGGAAAGACATGTCAGCCCAGAACAGGTGTGGCGGCAGAGAGGGGATGGTGAGGAAAGTGACCACCTCAAGTTCAGAAAACCCTGAAGATGAACCTCACCTTTCTCAAGGGCCATAGGTCAGCAAATCTCTGCCTCCACGCCAAGCAAGTTAGAAACCGGAAAGCAAACAGCAAAGGAACTCTGCACAAGCACTAAGAAACAAATTCCACGTTGTTGTTGTTGCTGCTGTTGTTGTTGTTTGAGAAGTGGCCACACTTAGCAGTGTTCACAAGGTCATGTATCTGGGATGGAACCCACATGCAGACCATGTGCGCCAGCCCTTTGAGCCATCTTCCTGGCCCCAAACTTTATATTTAAAATAAAAGAGGGAGGGACTGGAGTGATAGCACAGCAGACAGGGCATTTGCCTTGCACGTGGCTGACCCGGGTTCAATTCCCAGCATCTCATATGGTCCCCTGAGCACCGCCAAGAGTATTTCCTGAGTGCATGAGCCAGGAGTAACCCCTGAACATTGCCGAGTGTGACTCAAAAAGAAAAATAAATAAAATAAAATAAAAAGAGGAAGAGAGAGAAGCTAGCCACCCTTCTGTCTGGACACAGCACTCAGACTAGGTGAAGTGCCCATTTTCAGAAGCCAGGCAGAGAAGGGCACTGATGACTTTGAACTGAGCCCTGGTTTCACCCAGCCCACAGCCGTGGTGACTCGGATGGGCGGAAATGATTCCCACACCCGACCACCGCCACTGCTGATTGGCCTCTACGTGTCCTCCCAG